ACAGGACGCAGGCGCGACGAAAGCCGGCCCCGCCCTGTCCACGCCCAACTCCGGGTGCGCGGCCACAACCCCCCACCCCCCGGACGTGGGGGCGGGCGCACGAGGCCCCGCCCCTGCCAGCGGGAGGGGCGGACGCGCAGGCGCAGTCTCTTCCGGTTGTAGAGGCGGCCGCCGGGCCTGGCAGGGTGAGTTGGGGCTCGGTGCTGGAGGGTCGCCGCAGTTTCTCCGTCTTCGTTCCCACAACCCCGGGCCCTTGTGGCTTGACTGGCCTGGGAAAGAACGCCCCCCGCCCCTCCCACGCTCCCTCGCCTTCCCGATCCTTGGGGGCTCCAGGCGATCACCGAGGGCCGCGTGAGCGTGGCCGGGCTGGCCGGGTGTCCGGGCTGCGGCGGGAGGAGCCGGCGAGGTGGGGCGGGAGAGGAGCCGTCTCACCTTGACCAGAGTCGCGGCGACCCAGCACCCTTCCGGCCTCCTTTTCGCGCTCATCCTCACGGCGCATTTTCTCTTCAGAAACTTGGGATGTTTTTGTTAGAAACCGGAGGACGAGTCTTACCGCGGGTGTCTGGCAGCATCGTGTAGTATTAGGAACCCTGGAGATGGACTGCCTGGGTCCAAATCTCTATCCACAGCTTACTGGCTCCTGGCTTCTGCAAGTCACCTAACTACTGTGTGTCTCAGTTTCAAGTATAAAATGGGAGAAATAATAGTAACCTATCTCATAAGGTGGTTGGTGGTTGGGAGGATGAAGTGGGTTAGTATCTCTTCAGTGCTGAGAACCGAGTGCGATGCACAAAAAAGTATGTAAGTGCTGGTCATCTTTTTGAGGTTCTAAAAAGAGAGTTTTGTCTCTTTCTTCCCTCCCCCGGCATCCTCGCCGAAAATAATCGCCCAAGAGTAGGGAAAAAAAGATTTTTTTCTTTTTTGAGAATATGGGCTTTTGTATGCACGGCCTTTTCAAAAAATTAAACATTTGTAAACAGTTGCACATCCTACATTAGAGAAAAGACAGGTGTAGGTAAACGCGGAAGTTGAAAACGAAAGTTTTGTTTGGGAAACCACGTGAGAAAAATGGCCAGAATTTATTTGTGCTGAAAACACTTAACATAGCGTGCCTGAGACTGCTGTCATTAGAAAGTTTAGCCCTTGCTTGGCATCTGGGAACAACATGTTTTATGTTGTAGGGTACGGTTTATGCAGAAGTTTCTAGCCCCCTAAAAATCTGCACCAGTGAGTCTGTAATGGGCTTCCCTGAGCAGAAACGTTTCATAGACATTACTGGATTTTACTTTTTGGGGGAAGAGTGTGGTGACCCCTCTTGAGAGGGAGAGAATGGTAAGGAAGCCTGCACTTGGATTCCTCTAGACTTCACCTGTGTCTTTTTCATTATGATCAAGCTGTATGTCCATACTACATTGCTGTAATAAGTGTTAGCCATGAATACAACTATATGCTGGGTTTTGTGAGTCCTTATAGTAAATCTCCAAATGAGAGGGTGGTCTTGGAACTCCCCAGACACAATATTGATGATAGACAGTATTTGAAGCTCCAATAATCGGACTTTAATTTTGTCTCTTTTTGCCTGAAAGGGGAATTGAAGAAGAAAGCTATACAGATAAGTGACTGCTAAGTAGTGGGTTACCATCCAAAATGACTCTGTATGTTTAGACATGTACATGTGTCAGAAAATTCACTGGAAATTGACTCTACATTGCCAAGTTAAGTATGAGTCAGTGTTTTTGAAAGAAGGCATAGGTGTTTTATAGATTCTAGGTCAGCTACCTGGTTCTGTTGGTTATTCTGCCAGTATCAGCTATGTATTAATGCTCATCTTTATCAAGAGTTTACCTGTGCAGGGGGTGTAAAAATATGACCAGTTTCTCATGGGCCATTTTTCTTGGATTCTCTTAGTTACGCCTATCTCTTTCCAAGACATCAAGTTAAAATAGTTGGAGGTAAGTTTGTAAATTGGGGGGTAGAAAGATCCGATTTGCTATTTGATTACATCTCTTTTCTCTCAGTCAAGTAGAAGACCAGATGATAATTTGGAGGAGTAGGGAGAGGAGGAGTTGGAGGTTCGGGAGAGTGAAAAAGATTTCAGAAGGCTGTGTGAGGAGTATATAAGTGAGTTGGCCAGAAGGTGTAGTAGATAATGGGGTGTCTTGATTCGTTTGTGGTTATGATTATGAATTTAGTGGACCCAGTCTCCTTTCTTACAAGACTTTCTCCAGCCTGATTGGATGCATTCATGGAGAAAGTGGTTAATTGGATTTGTCTAGGATTGGGGTTCTGTTAGAGGGGTGTTGTGGTAAGTCATTAAGGCTGTGCACACATATTCTGTTCTTTCTGGAACATGTTAAGGTTGTACTCTTTGTACACTACCCCCCGTGCCCCTCCCCCTTTTGTCTGTTTGAAGTTAAATGTGGCCATATGACTTGCTCTGGCCAATAAAATACACTTGCAAGTGAAACTTTAAGAACCAGCACTCAATTTGCCACTTCCCTTTCTCCCTTCCCTGCTCCAGTGATCATGGAAGCACTTGTTGAGATGCAGCCTCTTGTCAGCCTGGGCACTAGAGGAGTATTGGAGTGGCTGATGGAAGCAAGCTGGCAAAACTTGAAGTTGTGATCAGAGAACAGAATACTTGAATTAGTGATTTTGCAAGGTGGAACTGTAGGGATAAGTGGATGAGGCAGTCTGGAGGGTGAAGGCAGTCAGAAATGAAGTGGTCAAGGAACTTGGAGACCTTCTGCATCTCTGTAACCCCTAAGGCCTTAATTTATTGCAGCCTTGTTCAATAGTGATTATCCTTGGACTTAAGGAAATGGCTCTTAAAATGGTAAACTCAAAAGCTTCCTTATGTGGAACACAGTATGACTAAAGCAGGATTCAGAATTTGTTATTGAATTGAAAGATTCTTCCACCTTGATCAATGAAAGCAAATAAACAACCACAAAAATTACAGTAAAGCTTAGCCATGGAGTAGCATGGTATTAGGTAGGATTTAGGATATAGTGGTTTAAAATAATGCTTTAACTTGTATCTAAAATCTTTAGAATTAACTTTGAGTTTTTAAGAAATAGAAGGGATTTCTTAAAAATATATTTAGAGGAGCTTCCCTGGTGGCACGTGGTTAAGAATCCGCCTGCCAATGCAGGGGACACGGGTTTAAGCCCTGATCTGGGAAGATCCCACATGCTGCGGAGCGTGGAGCAACTAAGCCCATGCGCCACAATACTGAACCTGCACTCTAGAGCCAGTGTGCCACAACTACTGAGCCTGTGTGCCACAACTACTGAAGCCCGTACGCTTAGAGCCCGTGCTCCACAACAACAGAAGCCACCGCAATGAGAAACCCGCACACCGCAACAAAGAGTAGCCCCCACTTGCCACAACTAGAGAAAGCCTGTGCGCAGTAACAAAGACCCATCGCAGCCAAAAAAAAAGTTTTCCTTGTGATAAGCCATAATGGAAAAGAATATAAAAAAAAAAAAAAAAATATATATATATATATACACACACACATATATATATGTCTCTGAATCACTTTGCTATCCACATTTTAACAAGATCTCCAGTTTGACTCACGCACTGGCCTGATCTCTAAAAAAGCCAGTGTCTTAGGAAAGTAAGACAGTATTAGTTCTCCATTTCTTATGGGAAGAACAGTTGTAGATTAAAAGATACTAACTGACATAACCAGTACAAAGTGCAAACCTTGATTAAATCCTTATTCAAAAAACCAGTACAGATGATACTTTGGGTCAGCTGAAGAAATTAGAATATGATAGGATATGAGATGATATTAAGGAATTACTGTTAATTTTCTTAGAAGTGATAATGATAGGACTGTATAGGAGAATCTCCTTAAGGCAGTGGTCCCCAGCCTTTTTGGCAGCAGGGACCAGTTTCGTGGAAGACAGTTTTTCCATGGGAAGAGGGGGTATGGTTTAGGCGGTAATGCGAGTGAGGGTGAGAGGCAGATGAAGCTCCGTTCGTTCATCCCCCACTCACCTGCTCTGTGGCCCGATTTCTAACAGGCCGCGGACCGTTAGCAGCCCAGGGGTTGGGGACCCCTGCCTTAAGGGATATATGCTCTCTGCAACTTACTTTTAAATAGTTCAGCAAAAACATACATACATGTATAGATATGTCTATATACACATTGATATTTAGATAAAACCAATAGGGCAAGATATTTGAGATGTGGAATCTAGATAGTATATGGGCGTTCATTATCCTGTTCTTGTAACTTTCTTGGAAGTTAAAAATTTTTCGTAATAAAAAAGTGGGGGAAAAACTCACAAAAAATGCAAGAGCTGGGCTTCCCTGGTGGCGCAGTGGTTGAGAGTCCGCCTGCCGATGCAGGGGACACGGGTTCGTGCCCCGGTCCAGGAAGATCCCACATGCCGCGGAGCGGCTGGGCCCGTGAGCCATGGCCGCTGAGCCTGCGCTCCGCGGCGGGATAGGCCACAGCAGTGAGAGGGCCCCGCACCCCCAAAAAAAAAAAAAAAAAAAAAAAAGCAAGAGCTTAAAAAGACAGAAATGTATTTCTCTTTAAGTAGTCCAGTGCTGGGCCGCCCAGTGCAGGGCCGCTCAGTGCAGGTAGGGCGGCCCTGCTGTGCTTGGCACTAGGCCTCCACCCCGGCCCGTTACGGCTCTTCCAGCTCCGCCTGTCTTCTAGCTGGTGAAACGAGAGAAAGGGCAAGGGAAGCACAGGAACCAGAAGCAGCGTACACTTCAGGTTTTTTTTATTCACCTGGACATCATACATGTAGGAAACCGTTGGTAAAAGTCAAATGTAGTTTGACTTTTTGTATAAAAAAAGTTCATTGGTTTAATAAAGATTTCTTTGGTTTCAGCTGGTGCTCCCTTCTTCCTCCTCTGTTAATTTACTAGGCCCATTAAACTTGAAGTCATTTCCATTTTAATATGCGTTAAGTAAAATACATAAAGTTTTAATTTTGAGGATTAATGTGTATTTTTACCCCCAACCTTTTCAGTAAGTAACAGATGCGGGTGAAAGAGCCATCCAAAGCTTTACCTGAGAAAGCCAAAAGAAGTGAAAGGCCTACCATACCTCATGATGAAGACTCTTCAGATGACATTGCTGGTAAATTATGATGTCTGGCATCCTGAATAGTGTTGCAGAAGAGAAATAATAATATATGTTTTTAATGACCATTTTCTGCATGAACTTTAAAATCAGCTTGTCTAGATCCTGTGTGGGCATTTTTATTGAGATTTTGTTTATTTTATATTTGACTTAGAATTGGCGTCTTGTTGTTGTTTGTTTCTCCTGGTTGTGAAAACCAAGCCCTCAAGCCAGTGAGGTTGGCGGATGACCCTGGGGAGCTGCTAGCTTCCTGGCTTGCTTTTCTTTTTAGCCTCATGTCTTGGGTTTTAGCTTCTGAGGATTTTCCTTACTGACTTACCAGTTCAGTTCTCCATTTAAAAAGAGGTTTTTAATATATTATTTCCATTTTTAAGTGTTTTTAACTTGGATATTGTTTCAGGATAGATTGCTGTATTGAAGGAAGTCTGAATTATGTCTTTAAATATTTGTTCTATTCTGTTAATATTTCTTCAGGGATTCTTATTATTCTTATGTTAACTATCTTTTGCCTATCTTCCATAGTTATCATTTTTTCTCAAATCCTCTAAAACCACTATTTCCTTTTCCCTTTGCGTGCTGTTTTCATTTTTATTTTTTACTGTGTGTTCAGCAGTGTTGCTTTCACCTTACACTCTTTTTAATTTTGCATTCGTTTTTGTGGTTTTATTTATTAATTTTTTTATCCTAAACTCTGCTAGTCACTTCCTATTGCTCTGCCACCTGAGCCTAAAGTGTTTGCTTCTTTTTTGTGTTTTTATTGCATGGCAGCGATTGCTCTGCCATTTTTCCTTTTCCTTCCTCCCTTTTTCTTATATTATCTTAGCAAAGAATTTGTGGCTTTGATTTTCTTTGATGTAGGGTTGCTTTTCTTGGGCTAGTTCGTTTTAGAATATTTGTGTAAGAAGGAGGGCCAGAGCACTGTTGAGACCTAACTGTTCAATTTGAGCTCATATAGGCTTTACTTCTTTCCAGCCACCAGGATTATGCAGCCCTGGGTTTTTTTCAGAATCCAAATTATCTTTTCTTTCCAACTGCCATAGAGATAAGGCTGTTCCCTGCAATTATGGCTTGCTTTTTTCTTCTCACTTAGTGAATGAGGAATCCCCTTCTTTCCATGCTTCTCAAAACAAAATTGGATATAGGGGTGCTCCTGCCACTGTTGTTGCAGCACAGAGATTTAGGTTTTGTTCTATGTCTGCAAAGCATGCCTTGTTCTTTGTGAAATCTACTGCTGCAGTGTTCTCTCTGCTTCCTTCTGTGCGCACCCCTGTTTGATCTCTGCTGCTTTGAGGTGGGAGGCTTTCCACTTAATTTGTGACTTGGGGCTTCAGCTGTCTCCTGGTTTCTCTGAAAATGAACTCTGTATTTTTGTTTTCTGTTCTTTGGATAGTTTTGGGGAGGAGAAAGGGGAAGTGTTAATTTTATGCCACCATTTGCAAACTGGAAGACTCCTTGTAAAATTTTTATTAATATTTAAAGTAAAAAATATGGAGATTTTGATTATTGTTTTAAATTTGTTAATGTGAAACAACTCTAGAATTCAGTACATTTTTATATTTTTATTTAGGAATCTCTAGAGGACCTATTTGCCAAATGAAATTTAGACAATTATATGATTAAGTGAACTGCAGAAAACTGAGGAAATTTACCTATTAACGTAGAGGATATTTTTCACATTTTTCCCCCCACAAAAGATAGTGAATACTGTTTAAACACTGGTTAGCTTTTGTAGGAAAACCTCAGACTTTTTAATTTACTTATAAAAAGTATATGTGGTTGAGATATTTAAAAGCTAATAGATTTAATTTAGGGGCCTACAAGCTTTTTTATCTTGAATTCACTTACCTCTGAATTCATTAACAGTTTCAGTTTCATAAGTCTGAATTGTAGAATCAGAGAATGGTTAAGTTTTACTCTGGCCAGATCCCATGCCAGAGATGATATAGAAGGTGTGTGGAATGATTTTTCCCTTAGAATTTTAAAATATAAAAACTCAAAGCAATGACATTTGATAAACCATTTCTAGGTCCTGTATTTGTGTGGTCATTTTTGTCAGTCTTGCCCTGAACAGCCCTTTCTGTAATGGCATTCATCCTTGCTTTTCAAACATAGGACTTCAGAATTACTCCTTTTATGTCTATTCTTATAACTTACTCTTGGTGTAAAATTAGAAGTTTTAATCTTTTATCAGATTTACATATTATTTTTGTTGAAACTATTTATTATAAGTAATTTGTCAGGAATCACATTCTTTATCTTCAGAATGAAGTGGAACTAATGCCTAGTCCCTAGTTAACCAGTAGGTGAAAAGGAATGCTTTGCATTCAGAAAGGGAAGTGGAGAAAGTTGAAATGTACATACTCCTTTTGTTTCCCTCTTCAAGGTATTCAGTCTCTGCTTTTGTTGTTTGGTTTTGGCAGAGAGCTGTAGATTTGGTGTTTGGGATATTTGAGGGTTAGAAATTGAAGTGTTCAGGTATTTGGGAGGAATGGAAGTGTTATTGAGCCCTTGAGAGAAGAATATGGTTATTTGATAAATTAAAAACATATTTGCTCATTTTGGCCATTTGTCTCTACACAGTGCCCACAGTAAGAATCTGTTATAAAGGATAATGAAGGACCATGCAAAATCATTTGTTATTTGGGAATAGTCATTAAGGAGAATTCTTGTTCCTGCAAATTATGCCTTTGTTCTTCTCTTTTCTTTCTTGCAACAATGGTGAAAATAGTATCATAGCAGAGCTAGCCCATGAGAAGATTTTACTTGTGTATCTTAGTGAAAGAAAATACATTCAAAATGCTTGATACATAGTAGCTGCTCAATAAATAATCTTATTTATTAAACTTTTAATTTTTGAATTAATCTTAGATTTACAGGAAGGTACAACATGTATACAAGGAGGTCCCATTCAGCCTTCATCCAGTCTCTCCTGATGTAACATCTTGTATTTCTGTAGCACAGTATCAAAACCAGGAAACTGACATCGGTACAATCCTTAGAGCTTATTCAGGTTTCACCAGATATACATGCACTTGTGTGTGTGTGTGTGTATATGTGTATGCAGTTTAATTACATGTTTAGCTTTCTATAACCGCCAGTCAAGATACTTGATTACAGTATCACCACCTTGAGTGCTAGTTATTTATAGCCACAGCACTGCTCCCCATCTAAGGCCCCTGGCAACTGCTAATCTGTTCTCCAACTCTATAATTTTGTTATTTCACAAATGTTTTGTAAATGGAATCATGCAGTATGTATCCTTTTGAGTTATTTTGTTTTTTGAATCTCTGTGCTTTTTAGTTATAGCATTTTAATATTGTTGACTTTTGCTTGCTAATGGTATCACTTTGGTTTAGCAAAGAAAATGTTCAAATTTTTTGTCTTATTCAGTAGGTTTCACTTGCCAACATGTAAGTCATGCTATCAGTGTGAATCATGTGAAAAAAGCAATAGTTGAGAATCTGTGGTCAGTTTGCTTGGAATGTTTAAAAGAAAGAAAATTCTATGATGGACAGCCAGTACTTCCTTCTGATATTTGGTTGTGCCTCAAGTGTGGTTTTCAGGTGAGAAAAGTCTCTTTTCTGTGAGAGTTTGTCTTAAATAGTTTTCTTATATCTTACTGTGAGCTCTGACTGTTGGTAATGCTTAGAACTTAAAGATTAATTTATTCTGTGTTTAGATATAACTCTCCAAGGCTGAGCTTAGAAATGTTTAAGCTAAAGTAAAATGTATGTATGTTCAGAAATTAATCATGTGTGGTTTATAAATACTTCGAAAGGGAATCCAGCCCTCATATGTGGCCATGCCTTTACCTATTTGTATTTACTTAGGAAATGGATCCAAGTTTTTGGGTTTTTTAAAAATCTTTTTGGATTGCATTTTTTTTCTCTATGAAAAGTGATTATTCTGTCTTTTCTTTTTTTTTTGCAAAGTAATTTCTCTTAAGAGCTTAGAAGCTATTGGTATCTTTTTATTTTTTAATTGGAGTATAGTTGCTTTACAATGTTGTAGAACCTATTGATATCTTTAATAAAGTAATTTTTAAATAAAATTAAAAGTATATATATATTTTTTAGAATAAGAGGCATCTTTATTATCTCACATAGAAAGCCAGAAGTAGGGCCACTTAAAGTTAGTTGCTTCAATGGAAAGAACATTAAAAACCGAGATTTCTTCCATTTTTCTGCTGTGCCATCCTCAGTTTCATGGTTTCAGGATGGTAAAAGATGTTTCGTGCACGGTGTATCACACAGCAATCCCCAAAGGCCAGAAAGAGGGCAAAAAGTACATCCCTTCCCTGTGTTCTTTTTTAAAATACGTAAAACTTTTCCAGAAACATCCATTAGACTGCCCCTCATGGGACATTGACTGGAACTGAATCTCATTTCTTTACTTATCTGGTGATGGAAGTTACTGTGATTGGTCTGAGTCTCACTAGTTTTCAGTGGAGTTGGGTGGAGGTGTGTAGGGTCTTAGGAAATGTGTGTATAGGGGAGGGGCACCACTAGCCTGTGAGGATGCTCAGTGTCCCACCATGCATCAGACAGAGAGCACTTTTAAATGGTATGGAAATTAACTTGGCTCATGACTGTTTTACTATGTAACAGGAGCAAGTTAACCTCTTTGCAAGAAATTGAATTTAATGAGAATCCTATTGTTTTCTGAAACTTTTCCCTCCTGCTTGAAACTAAAAACAAAACTTCTAGTGTGTTTGAGTATGGTTTAAGTTTTGATTAATTTGAAATCAACTTGTATGTAAATCATACAAAGAGTGTTCTGTTCATCTTTAGGGATGTGGTAAAAACTCAGAAAGCCAGCATTCATTGAAGCACTTCAAGAGTTGGAGAGCAGAGTTTCACTGTATTATAATTAGTCTGAGCACATGGATCATTTGGTAAGTTAGATTTTGTTAGTACTTGTGTTCACTATAAAAACTGTCTTTGAGTTTTATAAGGTACGATATTTAAAGATGATATACCAGCTTATACTTTTTAGCCTAAACACAACCTATGGAATCATTTAAGAAAATTAACAGTATCCATGAATATAAAATTGAAGTAAAAAATTTAGTCATCCCTGTAGTTTTCTTTAACACTTTCTTTGTACAATAAAGAAAAATTGTTGCTGGTTGACTTTTTGGTAATGAACTTGCTAAATTAGAATGTCAGAGTTCTAGTGGAGGAAGGTACTTCAAGCAGTCAAGCCGGTTGGCCATTCTCTGCAGGGGACAAGGAAAGCCTAGGCATAGATAATTTGTAAAAACTTCTCAGGGGATTCTACTACTTAAGCCTGGTTGGGAACTAAGTGCCGTTCCCTCATTTTATGTGTAAGGACACTGAGTATCATTTATTTACCTTTTTGTGGTTACAAAGTAAAGATCCAGGCACTAAAACAAGTCTTTTTGATTCTTTAGTCCCTTACCAGCATACCACACTGCTTCCGTGGTTTAACTGGACACTGTATTGAAAAGCTTTTCCTATATTTTACAGCAGAAATTTTCTCATGAATTTATAGACTCCTAGGGTTATTCAGATGAATTTTCAGGCGTTTTCAAGTTTTAAGACAAAAATATTTTAACTTTATGCTTCATTTCAGGGTTCTAAAATTAATATAAGGATATTTTGGTTTGTAGGAGAGACCATCATCATATAATTTAATTCAGCCACAGGGTTGGATGCCTGCTGCATTTGTGTTTTTGTTGTTGGCCCCAAGTAATAAAATTGGGGTGAATGAGGAAAGAATTGCTAGAACTTAATATGTAAATGAAGCATTGGAGCCAAGGGAGAGGGGTATGATCCCACAGTGTGGCAGCTCAATAAACATTTCTCTGTAGTCTGAATAGAGCAGTGGTCTGCAGCGATAGGGTGTATCAGAATCACTGGCTTATTGGAATAGATTGCTGGGTCTCAGGCTTAGAGATTCTGATTTACTAGTTCTGGGGTAGGGCCTGAGTAATTGCATTTCTAACAAGTTCCCAGGTGTTGCCAGTGCTGCTGGCCTGGGACCATAGTTTGAGGACCACTGAAGTAGAAAAAGATGGTGGGAGAATTGAGTGGCATCTGGTAAAATAGGTTCATCTCAAGTGAATCTGAATTGGAACATCTGTTGTAGCTCTTAGGACCCCAATTATGGTATGAATCATGATTTAATTTCAGCAAAAAAGCCTTACCTAGCATAATCAATTAGGGTTGTTTTAATTTAATTGTTTTTAAATTTTTATTTTATATTTAATTGTAATTTTGCTTTCATAGTTATGTAGAGTTACAAGGATGGTGAATTTATTGAGTTTTGTGAGATGGGTTTGTGAGATTTATATTATACTGAAAATAATTTTAAGTCACATTTGGGGGGTCCATAGAATTACTTCTCTTTCAAAGAAAGAAATTCAGTTTTGTCACCTGCATTTATAGAAATTTAAAGGTTGTGGCTATTTTCTTTTTCCCATCTAATTCTTAAACCTTAAAAAGTTTAACAATATCAGTAGAAAACTTCACTAATCTGGATTAGAGAAGGCCAGTTGGAACTAGAGGAAAAACCTGAAAAACCTAAAAAAAAGAAAGGAATATTGTAGATTTGATAATTTAATCACAACTAACAAAGTGTTGCTGGATAGTGGATTTAATGCTGCTTAAACAGATAATTATTAGTCAAATAGTACAGCTGCTTCTTACCTCCAACTTCACATCAGAATCACACAGGTGGAATTTGAAAAACCCATAGGTACCAGTGGTCCTCTGTTAAATCAGGGCTTCTGTATTTTTAAGTTCCATAGGTGATTCTTATGCCTAACCGGGGTTTAGAGGCACTGATTTAACACTTAAAGATAACATGTAAATGTGTGCTTTTAAATCATTCAAAAGTTTGTTGAAAGATTTAATATTTCCCTTGTACTCTCATTCTATTACTGATTTGTGAACCCTGTGTCTGTTTCCTACCCTTAAAAAGAAAATATTACACTTCTATAAAGCTATTTATTTTAAAATGATAATACTTTTCTGATTGTTGTGAGGAATTAAACCAGAAAATGCATGTAAAGTTCTTAGAACAGTGCATGGCACATAGTAAGTGCTCAATTATTTTTTTGGTTATTTCTAATGGAAACAGGTAGAATTACGTTACCTTGAGCTCTCCTCTTTTCTCCAAATTCGCTGCCATTGTGCAGTTTTTATTTACTTTTTTTTTGTACTCTTAAAGTTACAACAATATATTTAATAACAAGTAAAAATTAAGTCGTAATCTCAGTAAAAATTTGACGTTTCAATATTTTTCAAATAAGCAATTATATTTTTATTATTTTTGCCAATCATTACATCACAAAATATTGAACATCTGTTATAATGGAAGCTTGATAACTGTAATTGCTTAAATTCCATCATGATCCATTGGAAAGGTTGCTTTGGAATTTTTTTTGTGACTCAATTCCTTCACAGATTTATCTATGTATCTATGTATTTTTGTGTGCAAAGTGATAGAGTAAACACTCGGTAACCATTTGAATTTTGAGCACTGTTTAGAAAAGGGACCCAAACCTAGTTTTACAGCCATTGATTCCAGGACCACTAATAGTTATAAGCAAGAAGATTGTGAATATGTAAGGTCATGTTGGTATAATGCATTACATTTATAAAACACTTTCAATATGGTCAAACACTGTTCTTATTTGATCATTGGATCTCATTAAGATGAGAATAGATAGAAGAAACCTTTATTAACTATATGCACTAATGAGTAAACTTAGTGGAGGGTAGTTTTCTGAAAAGAAATGTGCTTTTCAAAGTCTCTTCTCTAACCCCCTCTTCACAAATAAACTCCAAACAAAATAAAACACCTCATCCAGTCTTCCCTGTCTCTGTAAGTGGAACCTCCATCGCTTAAGTATTTAAGCCAGGAGCCTGGCAGTTGTTTTCTTCCCCTTTTTATCTTATTTTATTTTTGAACCTTTTAACAAAAGTAAACATATGGTATAATGAATTCCTCTATATCCACCACCCAGCTTTAAACACTGTCTGCTCACAGGATATCTTGTTTCATCTAGGCCAGGATTTCTCAGTCTCAATACTGTTGTCATTTGGGTTGATAATTCTTTGTTGTGAGGGGGACTGTCCTGTGAGGGGACAGGATTAGCTCTGGCCTCTAACCACTGGGTGCCAGTAGCAGCTTTCCCAGTTGTGACAACCAAAAATGTTTCACAATTCTGCCAAATGTCCCCTGGGGGACAAAATTGCTCCTATTTGAGAATCACCAACATCCCGCATCAGCTTCTCCCTTTCCTCTTCCTTATCTTTTATATTCAATTCGTTAACTGCTTCTACCTGAAAATGTATGTCTGTTCATTTCTCTCTAGATCCACTGCATCTGCCCTGATCTCTCTCTATTCCTGATGCCATCCAATCTGACATTAGTCAGAGTGATGTTTTCAAAATGTAAATTGGATCTGATCACTCGCCTGCTTATAAGCCTCTCATGGCACTCCATTACGCTAGGATACACTACCGAAACTCTAATTTGAATGCTGAGGCTCTGTATGAACTGTCCCCTGCTTATTTCTGTAGACTTATTTACCTCATTTCTCTTGCCTCACCCTATGTATCCCCCTTACCCCATGACTTAAAGACAAAAGTAGATAAATACCAACTTTATTACCTGATGTGCAAAATTATTGAAGATGCTTTCATAATATTTGCTTACATTGTATATTTTTTCAGGTGTTATGAGTGTGATGAAAAATTATCAACACATTGTAATAAGAAGGTTTTGGCTCAGATAGTTGATTTTCTCCAGAAACATGTTTCAAAAACACAAACAAGTAAGTTAACAGCAGTTGCTAAAGAAATTTGTATTAAAGTATGATATTTTATAATTCTTATAAAAAGATAATAAATTCATAAAGAGTACTTTGGATTTTACTGTGACCTCTCAGTACGAGTGCCGTGAATTCTTAGGTAGCAGTTTTGTGATGTTATCTTGTGTTGTATTTACATAACTAATAATGAGAAGCTGGAGAGGATAGTGACTGGATTGTGGGCTTTTGAATCAGACAATGCTGAATTTGAATTTAGGTTCCACCTAAATTACCTACTGTCTGTGTGACTTTGACTCCTTAGTTTCCTTATGTAAAAAATTAGTACGATAATTCTATCAAGTGGGAATGTTGTGAAGCTTAGGGATGTTTTCTAAAGATTTAGAAATAATGTGTGTAAAAGTACTTGCATAGTCCCTGACACATTTATGAAATGATATCTGTTATTTGTTACATCATTGGAATACTGTTCTGACGCTAACTACCTGGAATTAGGCTAACCTTGCAGATTAAGGGCTCAGTTCCCCCAAAAGATTGCCCTTACTTCAGACACCATTCTCAAGCTAGGTGTTCTTAGGACGCCCGCCCCGCCCCCCTCTATTTCCGACCAACTGGCTACAGGGGTTCCCACTGTCCTCTTAATTCAATAATTTGCTAGAATGACTCAGAAAACACTGGAAAGTGCTATACTTACAATTACAGTTTCATTATAGCAACAACAACAAAAAGAAATAGAAATCAGGACCGGCTGAAAGAAAAGACATGTAAGGTGAGGTCTGGGAAGGTACCAAACATGAAACTTTTCTGTCTTCTTCCTGTGAGGTCAGGATGCATCAGCTTCTCAGCACATTGATGCGTAACAATACACACAGACTGTTGTTAACCAGGGAAGCTCACTGGAGTTTTGGTGTCTAGCGTTTTTATTAGGGTTTCATTGCATAGACATGGCTGATTGAATCATTGGCCACATGATGTAACTCAGTCTCCAGGATCCCAACCCTCTAATCACACGTTTGGTCTTTCTGGCATGGCTGGCTCCCATCCTGAGTCATCTCGTTCGCATACATTGTCTAAGGTCCCACAATGAATAAAAAAATACTTTGTTAACATAAACTATCAAGTGTGGTCTGAGGGGCCCACCATGAGTAAAACAGACACTCCTGTCACTCTGGAAATCCAAGGATTTAGAGGGGGCTTCTCAGGAACCTGGGACAAAAGACAGCCAAATCCTTTATTATACAATAGTAACGTATTATATATCGTACTTTGTTGTCTAACATATAAGCAGTATATAATACACATTAATATAAATTACGAATATATAGGGAAGGAGTTTCTTCATTCAAAAATATTAAGTGCCTACCACATGCCATGCTTTATGCTTTATTTGATATGTAGTGGTAAAACAAAAATAGTTTTTATGTTGCCCTCATGAAGTTTAGAGCATAGTGGGAGAGACAGACAGAAACATAACACATATGTAACTTGTGATAAGTGCTACAAAGGAAAAGAACAGATTGCAGTGATAAGTAATAATCTCATGGTCATAGTGATCAAGAAAGGCCAAAATGGCTGGAGTGTGGTTTGCTGGGAGAAAGCAGAATGTGGTAAAGTTAAGATGTAGGTGGGCAGGTCATGAAGGATACTGTAAGGAATTCCATGGTAAAGAATTTTTATTTTATTGGAAGTGTAATGGAAGCTATTAAAGTGTTTTAAGCAGAAGGGTAATAGTCATTTCATCTGTTTAAGAATAAAGACAACTCTACCAAATGGAGAATAGACTGTTGTGGGTTAAGATTGGAGGTGGGGAGATCCTTAAGGAGGTAAAAGGAGGTTATTGTGGTAGGGTGGGTGAGAGATGAGTAGGGGTTCTGGTGGAGAGTGGGTGGACTAGGTGTAATGAGTGAGAGAAAGTAGGAGGAATCAAGTACATACCTCAGGATTTTGATTAACTAGGTGAAAGGGAATAAATGGCCATGGTAATTTGGAAATGCCTTTAGAGCAGGAATTGAACTGCTTAGTAGGTGGCGTCAGAAACTGAAAAATTATATAGAAATATAGTTTTCAGCTGTATTTTCTGTAGCTCAATATAGAATGATTTTTGGTAGCTGTTGCTCTGAGACAGTAATGATGAAGACATTGGAGGAGGAACTAGAGGAGGTAAACTCAGGTTCTTGGACAGCAGAAGAAATGATTAATTTTATCACTCATTCATTGGAAAATATGGTGGTTATAGGCATTTAATACTTATAGAACTGAGGTTGGTCTTAATGCTGTCTCCTGAAAGCGGCCCATTAGTTTTGTTGGCCATAAGAAGAAATGTAGGGGGCTTCCCTGGTGGCGCAGTGGTTAAGAATCCACCTGCCAATGCAGGGAACACGGGTTTGAGCCCTGGTCCAGGAAGATCCCACATGCCGCGGGGCAACTAAGCCTGTGTGCCACAACTACTGAGCCTGCTCTCTAGAGCCCGTGAGCCACAACTACTGAGCCCGTGTGCCACAACTACTGAAGCCCACGCGCCTAGAGCCCACGCTCTGCAACAAGAGAAGCCACTACAATGAGAAGCCGACGCACTGCAACGAAGAGTAGCCCCCGCTCGCCACAACTAGAGAAAGCCCGCGCGCAGCAACAAAGACCCAACACAGCAAAAAATAAAATTAAAATAAATTTTTTAAAAAAAGAAGAAGAAATGTAGGGATATGATGGCAAGGGTGGCAAAAGTACAACTGTAGAAATTATTTTCTCTGGATTTTTTACGTTAGAGGTTCCTTGAGGTTAAGAGCAAAGCCGGTCTGATTCCATTCAGTTTTACAGATTTCTTGAATATTTATTATCACAAAGGATGTAAGGTAGGGAGCGTGGAATGGTATGGGAGAAAAACCATGGGCTTTGAGTCAGAGGAGTCTGGCATTCAAATTTGACTCTTTCAATCACTAGCTCTGTGACCTGGGGCATATTACAGTTTGTCTGAGCCTCATTTTCCTCAGCACTTTCTCCCTCTTTCCCATGGGAAGAGAGATTGGTAAGACCCTTCCTAAAGAAGTTTAAAAAAGGTGTGAGATTAAAAAATGATGTAAGTCGAATAGAATTTGTTTGTATTTTGAGTGATGTTCAAACAGAGTCCTTCAAATATTCAAAGAGGGATTCAGTGTTCAATTGAAAGGAACTCAAAAGGAATCGTGGAGGAGCTGGTTTCCAAGCCGACCCTTAAAGGATGAACTTGAGATAGGTAGAGAGGAGAGAAGAAATCATTTCAGGTGCTGGGAAGGAAACACCAATGGAAGCTTTAATTGTGTTTATGCAACCATGGGTAGCACCTGGAATGGGGGAAACAGGTTCTTGAAGGAGTTTGAGAGTGTGTAGAGCCTTTAAAGTTAGGGCGAGACATAGTTCTGAATCCAGGGTTTCCAGAAGTTCTAGGGCAAAATGTTAGTAGCTTTGTGTTCCAAGTTACAGCAGCTCTCAGGCAAGTTTGATTTAAAATAATATCCCTTGGTATTTTAGAAGTAAGTTTTTTGGGATAGTAATATTTTTATAAGATACTTTACAAATCAAATATGAAAGTTGCTATTGAGGTTTGTAAGAATGCTGGATATGATTATATAGCTATTTTAAATGATAATCGTGAAGATTGTAGAAATGTAAAAATGTCTATATGGTAATTCAAAAAGACTATGAAACTGTATATATTGTTTTCAAATGGCAGGATGAGAGTGATTTAAATGGAGCCTTTTTATATTTTGCATGAAGTAAAAATAACTACTGAGAGGAAAGCCTGTACCTGTACCTTAAACATGTTTTTAAGTTATACGATGCCTGGGCTAATTTCACGTCTGATACATCTAATTCAGCTTCTCTGCTCAGTGAATCTCAACTTTTGTTCCCAGTAGCCCTTTAGACTCTTAAAAAATTATTGAGGACTTAAAGAGCTTTGGTTAGGTAGGGTATATCTATTAATATTTATCATATTAGAAATTAAATATAAAAATTAGAATATTTATTAATTTACTGAAAAATAGCTGTAATTCCGTTACATGTTAACACAAGTAACATATTTTTAGAAAAGATAATGGTTTCCAAAACAGCACAAACCTAATGAGTGGCATTGTTTTACATTTTTCCAAATCTCTTGAATGTCTGGCTTAATAGAAACAGCTGGGTTCTCATATCTACTTCTGCATTCAGTCTGTTCTGATATTACATGGCCTGTAGCCTCCGTAAAACTGCATTGTATAATTGAGAATGAATGAAAGTAAGAAAACCAAATAACATCTTGGGCTTATTATGAAAATACCTTGGAGCTTAAGGACACCCAAAAGGGGGGACTTGTCTTCAGATACACTTTGAGAACTGCTAAACTAGCACATTTCTGTCTTTATAGTTTCTGTCTTCAGGCTTTCTTGCCCTAAGGCTCAGCTCAGATCCTACTTCAGTGACACTTTCCCAATCCTCCCAATATCTCTTCTTCTATGTAGTGTACTTTAGAATCTTAACACTTGATTTTGTGGTGTTCAGCTTTCATATGTATCTGTGTCTTGTTTATAAAACTGTACATGCCTTGAGGATTGTACCCTGGCTTATATTCTTTTTGATTCTCATGACTAGGTAGTAAATACTGCTGAATTGAACTGAACCAGCATGTGAGCAGTTTTTACTGAGGAAGTAGATACGCTTTGCATTTTCACCAAAACACCCCTGAATATATCAAATTATTTTATTTATTCATTCAGTCTGTTAATATACTTGAGTTTCTACCTTGTGCCAGACACTGTGCTAGATATTGGAGATACGATGGTGAATGAGACAGATCTATTTCTCAGTTCCTGCCATTATTGATCTTTTGGTTAGTGAGGGATATTGACAAATCACAGTTATAATTGCTGTTTAAATAGTGCTGTGAGGAGCAAGAGCAGGGCCCTGTGAGAGCACTTTGGAGTAGTATCTAATCTGGACTAGAGGATCCAGGAAGGTTTTATTGAGAGGAAGAGATTTCTAAGCTGGAATCT